GCATAACCAACAAATCCTTTTCCTGGCATTGTCCGTGATCAAATTAATTTTCAGTACTATTAATCTAAAAGGAAAAAAAAACCCAAACAACACCCCCCCCCCCCCCCCCCCCCCCGTCAAAATACATTTGGTATACATTTGCTATTCAGCAAGTGTCTTGTGTATCAAACACTTGAATGAAGGATTACCGTTTAACCACAATAATTAACCTTGTCATTTGGCCAATCTTGTTTCTAAAAGTGTCCCAATTTTTCATCAGTTACTGGAAAAAAAAGAAAAAAAATCTTTAAAGGAATGTGCACTCCTGAAATACTGCCTGTGGTATTCAGTGGGTATCTGTGCCAGCAGCGAATGCACGTGACATAATTAAATTGGGTAGCAACAAAGCAGGTGGGTTATATGCTTGCTGTCATTTAAAGTACCCTCTCTGTATAGACAGAAAATTTTCTTAAAAATCAAACAAACAAACAAAAACCCAAAACAATTTTCCCATCTATAAATCCTGTTGGTTTTTTCCTGACGTCCTTTAAATCACAAATCCAATAATATTATAAATCACGTAAAAGTTAGAAAATTACTTTAAGCCCCTGGGCTTCACATTGAAATGTTGTCTGAAGAAAAAATTCAAATTGTTTATACAGAGAACTAGAAGATATTTTTGTCATCATTGTTGATCTTGTAAAATATTTTCTGTGAAATTAGGCAGATTATTTAAACACAACTAGTTAAACTGTATATGAAACTCTTTTTTCCTTGAAAACTTCTTCCTCACTTGCTTTTCTCATTAACCCAGTAGTTTTCCACAGCAAGCACCACCCTGGGCCTACTTACGTCAGTGACTTTTATGCCATTAATTTCAATGGAAGCAGGATGTGGTCCAGTAAATTATCCCCAGCATGGTCTGCTCAGTATTACATTAGACCATGGGAGTAGTGAAAAGAAAGCTCCTTATGAATTTAACTCTTTAAAATATCCATTCTTGTGGTTGTAATGTAAGTTACTGCTATTCTTCTTTGATATTCTGAAGGTTTCTCAAATTATCAAAAAGGTTGTCTCAATAGGCAAGCCTTCTAAGGCAATATAGTCACCATTAAACCCCTTACAGACATTCTAAATATTGAGGAAAAATGCCAATAATCCAGTGGAGTTAATTAGGCATAATTGTAAATAATTTCTTGATGACCACTGCATGAGTCATTTTAATAACCCCTATAAATTTTTTGGACCACCTGAAAAAGGTACTAGTGTTGGATTTTGAGGACTACAGTTGAGCTCCTAGAAAACAAATCCAAAAGAAAAGTTCTTGTATGTGGCCTGTAGCTTCTCTCTCCTCGGCTCTGTTATTCCTCTACTTTGAATGGAGTCCTGCAGTGATCAGTGTCCTGCTTCTCGTCTTCTATTACTACTGTCTCATGAGCTTTCCAAAGTCAACACATATTGTTTTCTAGGATCTATAATACTTTCCCAAGACCAAGTTTACTCGGTAGCTAAAATAAGGTAGTCCACTTCTTTTTGTTATTAAATGCCAGGGTATAGGAGCAAACTGGGATTGCAAAAGAGCTAAACACAGAGACACAAACAAATGATATTTGAAAAAGTGGACCTTGCTACCGAGATTTGTAAAGTGTTCTGGGGCTGGGTCTCCACAATGCCCTGTGCCAAACTGGGTTTTTCATATTCTCATGCTTAGCTTTTGAACTTCGATAAACACACACTTTTGCGTCTCTGTCATAATTTCAGTTAGACTAATTTGGTTTTACTTTGGCATTCTTTAAGTAAGATCCAAATCATACACCTTCTCTGCTGTATTCTCATGAATAACAAAGCTGTAGAATAAATATTGTTGACACGTGTTGGCAAAGTGCTTTTATACTTGGATTCCTCATTAAATTACATTCAATTTTAGTTATAATGAGGATAATCCATTTGATACTGTTGACCCAAATTCCCCTGAGGAAAGCTGCAGTTCTGAATTGATATTTGCATCTCTGAGTCAACTGAGTAACATTCAAAATCACGTCAGACTTCAAATCTGAAAAATATCCTTTTCCAACATTGTTCTAGGGGTTGTGACTAAGTTATATTGCAGAAATTTATTCCTGCAATGCTTTACAGCTCTTGGTGTTCTTTAATCTTGCCACTTCCCTAGCTTATGTGACACTTTACTTATCTGTACCCTATCTCTGTAAACGCCTTATGAGAACACTGACCATCAGGAAGCAGAAGCACCTTTCTGAAACTCATCCCTGGGCATCTTTTCTGAAATCATATTTCTTCTCCCTGTCATGCTCCTTAATCGTTCTTCTTCTGCAATAAATTGTTATTTCTTTCCCTGTTAGAATTCTTTCCTGTCATTCATCATGTTATGAGTACCTTTAGCTTGAGAACAGGAACAAAATCCCAGTAGGCTTCAGGAAGCCTTTAACTCTTTTTCTCTCTCACAATGTAGAAAATAGACAACTCCGCTCAGAGTGTCATCTTCTTTGGGAGAGTTTTGTTGATTTGTTTGTTTCAGAGTTTTGGAGTGCTCTGGGAGAAATGGGCTACTTGGAAATATGGAATTATCAGTATTGTGAGTGTTACTCTCAGTTTCCTGAGTAGAATGTCTGGATGAGGAAGCTTTTGAAATTTTTCTCAAGTTTGGTCTAAAAATTATCTAATAGACAACAGGGACCTTGGAAGATTCTGGAAAGGAAACAGTTTTATTGAGTCATTGCAGAAGATCAACTATACAGCTCAAAGCATGAGTTTATGATTTCATTTGACCTTTGATCAAGCTAGCTGAATCCCCATGCTCACAATGATAGCACATGCAGAGGCTCTGCAGAGAGGAAGTAGTCTTAAAAATTGTGTATATAGTTCCTTTTTCATGTATCATTGGGAGCATGGGATTAGCCCTGTAAAATAGATCATGTAATTTTGCAGATACAAAACTGATGACTTGCACAGCAATTGTTAAGAGCTAAAGATCAAGCCATGAATCTTGCTCCTCTGTTTGTTAAGATCTTTGGGATAACTAAGAAAAAACAATATACTTGAAGGCTCAGGTCAGTCAGTAGGACAAACTTTATAAGTTTGTTGTCTGGGACTGCTGAGAAATACCACAGGAGGTCTTCAAAAACAGGCCAGAAAAAAAACTGTCAGTTTAGCTATATTGAGCCTGCTTTGGTGTTAGGGAACGAGATGGGTGATTTCTTGATATCCTTTTGAGCTCTGTTTTCTGTGATTCTAAATTCCCAGACGTATCCTCAGGGTGACTCTCTACCTGTAGATTTTTGGGTAGCAAGAAATCTTATCAAATACGACCATGGCAGAACAGGTGCTTGTCTCAATCCTTTATGCCAAGTGAACATCCAATTAAACCATTCACTTTAGTATCCCACTGTTTCTTATTTGTTGACTCACGCAGGATGAGGGCAGAAGAGTGCCGCTGAACACCTGATTACATCCTTGGCAATGAGAAAACTATGTAGACAAACACCAAGAGTGCCAGCTCAGCATTCAAAACGTACATAAATAAAATACCGGAGGCCAAATTAAGCTTTTACTTTACTGTTTTCTTCAATCGGCAAATGCAAATATATTTCTCCATAATTTATGTCTTGACAGATGATAATGAATGTGAAAATGCTACTCAGCCTTGTGGAGAGCATGCCAATTGCACAAACACGGTGGGAAGTTATTTCTGCATGTGTGCGCCTGGTTTCAAATCCAGCAATGGTCAAGAAACTTTTGTACCTAATGATGGAACCTCCTGCGTGGGTAAGTTATTAATGTCTACCAGCTAGCTTTACATTGTCACTCTTTTCTTATGGCTTCTGTTAATTATAGAAATCTAGCAAAATTCTTTCAGATTTGTGAAGTTTGGTGTCTGGATATAAAATTCCCACATTTTGGACTGGTACAGACTTAATATTCCAGTTCAGACCCACACATCTCACTGATAACACAGCAGCTGCAATTGTTTTCAGTAACACTTTAATCTTGACTCTGCTCACAACAATTTTAATCCACATTTCACAGTTTTAGATGATGAATATATAGTTAAGGAAACACAGAAATCCCCAATCCACCCAATTATGTCCCCATTTCACTGATCTGTGAGCAAGGCGGTCATATTCTTAAAACAAAGCAGGGTGACAAAGTATTCTGCATTCAGGTCGCTCAGGACCAACAAAATTCTCTATACATTTGACCTACTGTGCTCCAAATATCTTTTGTTTGGGGGCTTTGGTTGGGATATTTTTGGTGATTTTTCAAGTCTAATCAAAAGCAATGAGCAAGATCAGTAGTTATCCTACCTCCTGTGCCATCCATCAGCCTCTGTATGTGTAGCAGTTGGATGGAACATGTTCAAGATTACAGGGGAGGAAAAGTTCTCTGGAAAAATGTTATTTCTGAACAACTATGCAATCCTTTAGGATTTCCTTTGAATGGAAGAACTGTAACTATTTCTCTTTTTTCAAACTCCTGGTAATTTTCTCTGTATGTTGCAACAGTCCTCAGGGAATGGGAAAATGAGAAATAAATCTATTGCCCTTTACACCTTTATGCTGACTGTGTCTCATTCTAGATATGTCTCCTGTGAGTTTGTGAGTGCTGACAACCTCTCTTCTTACTGCTCTTAATATCAGCAGAATGGCTGCATATTAAGCCAGAAAGTGATCTAATCAACATTTCTTGCCCATTGCTCACATCCATCTAAAAGAGCTCTGCTTTATCCAGCCGCTATGAATCGTTCTTAAATTAGCTGGGACTGAGACTGTTAGCACATTGAGCTGTAAATATTCTCACAGTTTCTGGTCCAGGCTTTGATTTTTACGTTATGACATTTCCTCAGCTTCAGAAGTTTTGTCTTCAAAGTTATTTCTCTGACTGTTCTTGTGTCACTTTAGCTTTTTACCATTAGCTTGCTAATTTCTTTTTTTTGCCCTTTTTTCTTTACTGGGCAGACTGATCTTTTTTTATCCTCTGCTGGGGGTTAGTTTACCACTTTTCTTCTCCCTTTTGCAAATCCATATGGGAGGAGCTGAGAGCTTCCAAAACTCAGACTGAAATAAAGAATTACCTGTGGGCAACTTTTCTCATTAAACAAGTGTACCAATTACTTTACCAAACAGTGAGTCCTAAAGACAACCTTTTGATCCACAATTAATTTTCTACTTTATCTGTCAGGGAAACCATAATAGGATATTTTGTACCCAATGGATCTGTTGCTACAGGTAGTAGAGATGATGCGCACAAGCAGCTGACAGTAGTATATTCAGGGTGTACTACACACAGCTGAAGCAAACACCAAAGTTGTCATTGTAAATACAGTGCAAGTTATCCAGTACAAATCAGAGGATGGAGCTACTGAGTATCCATTATAGGGCCCCAAAATATTTTCAGATTCTGCAAAGCGTTAAGTTTTCTTTTTGGTATATGTATATAACGTATATGGCAGTAACTTTAAAAATACAATGGTTGAATTTTGGACAGTATGCCATTATGCAACCTATTTGTTTATGCCATCAAACCTGTCTGGATTTCCCAGCGGTGCGAGTGTGGTACATCACTGTGTGTGTGTGAGTCCATTTCAAATTCCATGTGCATATGCGTGTGTGTTCCTCCCCTCTTTGAATACTATACTAAACTTCCGAATACAAACTGACTATAACTCTCAAGGTAGTGGATCAAAAGAAAACTTGGGACAACGGCTTTGGGAAATGTCAGTTCACCCTTAATCCAACCAGAATGTTGAGTTTTGAGGTGAGGGTCAGCAGTATTTCATCCATGTTATCAGGTAGAATTGGTGAAGAGATGACAATGAAATATGCAGCTAGAGGAGGAACTGGAAGGTAGGAAGGGAGAGAGAGAGAAAAAGAGAAGGAGAAAGGAAATGGAGACGAAAAAGTGAGGAATGCAGAGGTGTGATATTTCTGAAGATGACATTTTTCTGCTGTCCTGAATGTGAGCTATTAAAATCTATTTACTGTGTAAAAGTCATGCTTTTTGCTTAGACTTCACATTTTATTGAATGTTTGGCTGCAGATAAAAAGGTGAAATATAAACCTACTTTTTTCACCCTGGTCAACAGAGTAAAAACGTGAAAATGGCCATCTGTAAAACAAAAGTGACATCCATGCCACTCTGCCTTTTCCAGGAGCATGTTATTAGTTTTCTTCAAGTATTTCTGAGAGCACTGCGAAGGCACCCATTCTCCATCACATCCTTTTCTGTGACAGGGGAGTTGTACAGTGGATGGGATATGGCATTATGCCACATTGCTAACTTTTCTTTTACCCATACCATTCGTAGCCTTTTTCATTTCTACTTTGTGTGTGCTGCTGCCTTCCACAGTATGGAGACACGGGGAGGGAACATCTAGTCCTTTGCAACTGGACTTTTCAGTCACTTGCAAGCTACTAATAAGCAGAAGGTATAATGTAGACATCAAGCTGTCTTGACTGACTGGTGAAGAATCAAAGCGATGTAGGTACAATCCAGTAATTGGCAAGACTGAACATAATAACTGTTCTCAGTACTTTTAATTTAATTGGAATTTCCTTGCCTGCTGCAGTAAATGAGGAGTGACAAAGCACAGAAATAAAATAAAAGGTTATAAATCTATTTTCACACTAGCCTAAGTGGTGTTGGTGATATTATTTTTCTGATTGCAGCTATTATAAAAGCTTCAAAGTTCAGCTCCAGGCTTTGTTTTGAATATTTACTAAAAGGCCAGGGCTTTTTGCAGAGCTATGGCAAATGCTCTTCTGTTTAAAAAGCTCCTGTTCTTCAACCTTTGCTCAGGAATGTTGTCTGTGAAGACTGCTCATGCAAGCCTTGGCAACCCAGTCCCGGTCCCATAGTAGATCAAGGAGGACAGTTTGAGATCCTCACCCCAAAGCTCCAGTAAAATTGGATTGCTGAAAGCCCTGACAAGCTGTTGTCTGTGTGTGGTCCAACAATTGCATATTTGGTTAAAAAGGAATAACTACAAAATATAAAGAAACAAAAACCTACAGCTACTGCGCACAGTATTTCAAAGCAGGAACTTAAAAGCAGCATTCTTGCAACCGTCACAAATTGTTGGCTGCCCCTGACAATCTCATTGATTTAAAAGGGATACGAAGCTGATTAGTACCTTGCAAGATCAGGCATATTGCCTTTTAATTTTGTCATCCAGAAGATTTTTTTTTTCTCCAGGAAACAGTAAATTAGATAGGCGTGATATGGACTCATTCCATATGGATAACTCAACTGCAGAAAGTCTATTTGCATATACTCGACAGGGTGTCTCTATCAGACTTTAAATAGCCATCTTGTTGCCAGAGATGTGCCTTGGTGCTTGAGTTTCTGCTGTTATTTTGGATAATCCTGACTTCTCATTAAAATCTCCATTACACTTAATATCTGACATAATTACAAAAGGAAGGGTAATTTGTGTGACTGCCCAATAATGACAAATAAATGATTTACCAAACTAAAGGTTCACGAAAGGCAAAATATCATAATAATTTTGAAATAATTGCAACAGTAAATCACATGGAAACCTGATACTTAGCAATGGCAGTCTGTAAAGTATTCAAATATTAATTTATTTATAAGTCTTTGTAAGTTTTAGCGAAACTTCTTCTCATTTGCTGGTGTTTTAGCACTGCATTACATGCCGAATAGCTTGTTAAGATGTACGTATCCTTCTTCACGTAGCTGACAAGGCCAAAGAAATCTTTGGTATCAGGTTGATGTGTGTTCTTGTTATACAAACGGGTATTGTCATGGTTTTCACCCTTGCCACTTCAATTCATTCAAAGTTTTTCTGTCTTTGACACAGAGTCACACAACAGGACACTGACAGGCACCCACTTATTTCAAAGAGAGCTTTATAATTTACTGATGTGAGAGGTTATTTAAATGCCAAGAGTAAGAACTTTAGCCTTATGTCTTTAAATGACAGCATTTAATTATGAGGTAGCCTGTGGGTAGCACTATATCACGCTTTTTCCCCCTCTTTTCTTCACTTTTGCCGGACTCATTGATGTATAATGTGGTTAGCTCCATGACTATGAATACCGAGGTCACAAAAACCATATAAATACAGATAATGCAAAACTCAGCTCATCAAAGAGCAACATTTGCAGTTTGGGGCATTAAATATGGAAACAAACTATTGCCCTAATGCAGATAATTATAATTTAACCTCATACTTTAAACTTCAGTGCTTGTGCCAACCCATTCGAACACACAGCACCTTAGCGGCTCTCCCTGAAGAGCAGAGGTGGTTCTGCTGGGGAGGGCAAAAGTACTTCCAGCCCCACCTCTCCTTCCGGCCTCTGCCATGAGGGACTCTGAATGGCTTTTCAATGGGAGCTTCTGAACCTCAGCTTGAAATGCAGCATTTCAAGTGCAAAGCAGAGCCACTGCTCAGTGAGGAAAACAGAGATGTGAAAGTGAGGTTGGACTTCAACCATCTCCTTGAACCCCAGGAAGACCTCTAGGATTACAAGCAGAAGAAAGGGAGCTGGGAATTAAGCAGAAAACAGCAAAAATCGTGTGGATGCAGAAACTGTTGGAATACTCCTTTAAAAGTTTAAATACATTTTACAGTTGCCCTGTATAAAAAAAAAAAAAAAAAAAAAAAAAATTATTTTTCTTTTTTTTGGGGGGCTTTTTTCCCTTTAAAAAAAAGGGTGTTACCTCTCCTGAGCATGTTGTGCCCGTGGTTTTGCAATGCGTGTGCAGCTTCACCCAGGCTTTCTCCTCCTGCTGTACACACTGTTCCATGGGCGTGCAGCCTGGAGCTCAGACTGGTGGCCTCGGAGCGCAGTGGCCCTCTGCACCACCACCACCTGCTGTCCCACCTGCCCGGCAGCTTCCACCGGTGCTGTCCTTCTCCTGCTGAGGCAGGGAAGGACCCGGACATGGACATCGGGAGCA